ATCATACTGCAGAACTAAACAGGTAAATACAGTAAATAGAGATTGCAAGATCAGCATGTATACGAATGAAGCTAATCCTAACGTGCAAAAATCTAAATTTGTAGATAAGACTACGTACCATTCGCTGTTATATATTTTTAATATTATTATATGGAGCTGAGACTTGGACTTTAAAAAAATGCAATTTAAAAAAAATCGAGGCTTTCGAACGCTGATTATACCGCAGAGTATTAAAAATATCATGTACTGATAGAATTGCAAATAAAGAAGTACGTGAAAGGGTCGGTTAAGAAACAAAACTAATCACCACTACAAACCAGAAAACTGGAATATCTAGGCCATGTGATGAGGGGACCAAAATATGAAGTTTTGAGACGCATAATACAGGAAACTATTTAAGGAATAAGATCTGTTGGAAGAAGGCAGAACTCATGGTTGAATAATCTACATGATTGGTATCAATGCAGATCGATTGATTTGTTTAGAGCAGCAAGTTTAAAAATAAAAATAGCCTTTATGTTTGCCAACCTCCGTAGGGAGACGGCACTCTAAAAAGAAGATGCCTCTTGTACAGTGTTTTCTGTTCTCCCAATATTATTTATATCATTAGCATAGGCAAGAATTTGCACTGATTTAATATATATTAAACCTTCTCCTTCTTATAATGCGGTGCACCTATGGTGCGTTGGCGAGTTACCTTAAGGTCAGACGTCTGTTTTTTGCGGCATGCAAAAGATCACCAGTGTTATTTATGCCTGTTCAGTTTTTTTATGTTCCGTAGGCACGACATTTGTTTGCGACCTACTCCTCTCTTGCCTTCAATCTTTTCCTGGATGATTAGTTGAGGGATTGCTTATTTTTTTCCTCTCAGAATATGGCCGAGGTATGCATTAAATCAATAGTTGTGATTTGTGACATAATTTTCCCAGTGCCAAATTGAACAGATTACAGAAGAGAGGATACCCCTAGCGCAGCCCGTTATTTGTTATAAAAGGTTCAGACAGTTCCTCCTGAATTCGTATTCTACATTAAACTTTTTAAGAGTTAGTTTTGTTAAATTTACCAACTTATTTGGTATTTCTAGCTCTTTTATTGCTTTAATTTTTCTTTTATTCACAGAGTCGTAGGCTGCTTTGCAATGCTGTGTTGTCTGTGGATTTTCAACTTATTAGAATAGAATAGAATAGAATAGAATATTCTTTATTAATCCCACCAGATCACATTGTGATATAGGACAAGTCATATAGTACATAAACCATGATCAACAAGTTATATAGGACAATTACATAAAAAAAATCAATAGAATATAGATTAATATAAAAATAAAAAAAAATGCAATATAGAGCGTCTCTGAACCCGTCGGTCCTTATTCTCTGTAGTCTTTTATTAAGTCAAAATATTCATTTAGGTTATAAACGTATAATTGGATCAAGCATGCTTTTAATTTATTTTTGAATTTTTGAATATTGTTTTCATTTCTTATATTAAGTGTTAAACAATTATAAAATTTAGATCCTGCAAAATCAGGACTAGTTTCAAAGAGAGTTGTTAAGTGTTTACACACGCTTATCAACCTCCCGTGTCTTGTCGGGTAATTATGAAAGTCAGATTTGAGGGTAAAATTTTGATATTTAGTTTTGACGTGAATAATACACTTATAAATATATAAAGCATGAAAACTCAACAGCCTGTGTTCAATAAAATATTTACGACATGATTGTCTATTCTTAATATTGAATATCAATCTAAGAATTCTCTTTTGAGTTATAAAAACTCTAGAAGAGTTTCTAGAATTTTCCCACAAGATAACATTATAGGCCATATATGAATAAACCAATGCATAATACACACTTATCAATTGATTGGTATTAAATAGAGTTTTGAACTGAAGGATCGCATAGTAACCCTTATTCATTGTTTTGCAGACTTTAGTGACATTTTCATCCCATGTCATATTATTTTCTAGAATGCTACCAAGAAATAATGTTGTATCACTAAAAGGTATTTCCTCAGAACTAACTGTGATTTTATAACCATATGATTGCTTAAAGCGCGAGTAGAACTGCATACAAATAGTTTTCTTTCCATTTACCATTAAAGAGGTCGTTTTACACCAGGTTGTAAATTCCTGTGCTACTAAGTTCATTTTTGATATGAGTTCGACTTCATTTGGCTCGTCAATTACAATTGTTGAATCATCTGCATAAAGAACTATATGGTCTGCAGTTAAAAAATGTGTCAAATCATTGACATATAAAAGAAATATTAGGGGTCTCAATACGGAGCCTTGCGGTACACCTCGATCAAGATTAAAAACAGATGACTTCTTATTATCGACTTTTACTAGGAAGTTACGATGTTGTAAGTATGACCGTAACCAGTTCAAGAAATAACCCCGAAAACCAAGGGCTTCTAATTTATGAAGTATAATTTCAATGTCAATAGAGTCAAAAGCCTGAGTTAAGTCAAAAAAGAGTGCACCCACATACCTTTTTGATCCAAAGCAGCGTGGATATAATTAAATAATGAAATAGAAGCACTCTCTGTAGATTTATTAGGAAGAAACCCATGCTGGCATTTATTTCAGATATCATATTTATTCAGAAAATTTAACATTTTACTATAAATACACTTTTCGATAATCTTAGAGAGTACACTTGTTACTGTGATTGGTCTGTAATTATCAACCAAACATGGATCTTCCTTTTTGAAAATTGGACTGACTACTCCCGTTTTAAGGTCACTTGGAAACTTGCCATCCTTGACAGATACGTTGATGATGTGAGGCAAAACAGGAGATATATATGAAGAAATGTATTTAATTATTTTAGTGGGGATTTGATCAATACCTACTGAGCTGGCATAGTTTAAGGAAGATATAGCATTCTCAATATCAAATGGTGAGACTTCAGAAAAAAAGAATGTGTTGTTAATTGTCATAGTTGTGAAATCGTTAAAGGTATAGTTATTGAAATGTTTTAATAATGTGTGTTTGACTGATGTACAAAAATACTCACCAAATTTGTTTGCTATGTGTTCTGGATGTATCAGTAATTTATTATTATCAGTAATGTTCCACTTAAAATTGTTTTTATTTTTACCAGTTTGACGATTCACAGTTTTCCATATCTCCTTCCTTCTTTTATTATTATTTTGATTATGTAAATAACTTTGATATGATGCTTTTTTTATATCCTTTACCTTACGAATAAAGTTGGCCTTTTGTATTTTATGGTTATACATTAAATCTGAATTACCACTAACATTTGCTAGCCAAAATAAATCTTTCAGTTTTTTACTAATCTGAAGAATTTCAGTATTGATCCATTTTCTGTTGGTATTACTAGTTATGCGTTTTGATATTAAAGGACATGTATCAATATGATAGGAGACAGAGTTCAAAAAAAGCTCTATATGCATCATCTACATCGTTTGAATATGTATAAACATTTTCGAAATTCTTAGAATCAACTGCTTGACCTAAGAATAGAAGAAAAGAATATTATACTTGACCTAAAAGAGATGTTCCTTGAGGAGGTAGTCTAAAAGCTAGTTTGTGTTGTGATAGATTGAAAAAGGATGGATGTTATTGTTTGTAACCGTATAAGTGGTGTTGTTTTAAAGAAGTACTCTAAAGAAGTTATTTACATTTATTTTAAAGATTAATTTATGAAAATATGTGGTATTTATTTATTTATAGATGTGTACCTATTTCTAGATAATGTAAGTAATAGATTTTATAAGCGAAGATTTTATATGGAAAGCTTTTTAAAGTTGGTTTTCGCCAGTGAACAACTAAACAAGAAATTAGCAAATAAACGAATGAGACAATAATAAAATAATTTTGATGTAATTTCCTTAAAAACTTGAAAACTACAAAGTATTCCATTTAGGCAGTCAATTGTTCTTCTACCTTGTATTACTCTTTTATTACTCCCAGATACGTGTATTCACTACAGAATGTAATTTATTCATTATTCTCCAGTTTGATATTGTTTTTGTAGTTGTATATAGTTTTTTTTCACATTAATTTCCAACATATTTTCAACAATTTCCAATAACAAGATTATTAGTTAATTATTGTTTTCCTTTTTTTTACTTATTTACATTAAATATTAATTTGTTTTGTAATACAATCCACATCTGCAACAATTAGGTATGTAAAATATTTTATTTAAAACGAATTCAGGAATTTCAGGACTTTTTTGTAATTTGGCAACAATGTTAAGTTATATCTCTAAAATAGATAATACCATGCATCGGGATTTATACTGTACCAACTATAGAAAAATACAAAAAAATCAGTCAAACATAAGACACTACACTAACACAAATTGTAGATTGATTATTTACTACATACGGGACAGATTTATTGTTTTTTAAGAGGGAAAAAGAGAGAATTTCCTGTAATTAGAACTATACCATGTTTTTGTGTATAATCGATATCAACATTTGGGTAGATAGATCAATAGTTAGCTCAATAATTCCAAAGAGATTAGACAGAGAATACAAATTGCAGAAACCGAATCCATAAACATAAAAATGCGGTAGATCGTCTCCAATATTAAATTTTGGCTATGAAAAATGTAGTTTGTATCTCATAATTCTACGCTTCAACTTGACTACGATTCTACTTCAGTAGAATAACGAGTGAAGTAAACTTGAGAATAATAAAACACCCGCAGTTTGTAAACATATATAAATAAGAAAAATGCTTTTTATTATTAATTATTAGTATTTCATATTAGAGCAAAAGTTCTCAGTAAAAACATTATATTCTGTTTTCATTTATTTTTTCCCTTGTTGCATTTTTAAAGCCATCATATTCTATAGCTTAATTTTTTATCACTTGGACTGACATGAGTCTTTGCAAAATCTACCACAATGTAAGAACTGAAAAATAGCTATTTGTTAATTTTCGAACATAATGAATCACGAAGATGAAATATAATGAAAAATAAAGGTAGAAAGGAAATAAAGGGCAAAAATGAAATGCTTACCTAACGTCATGCGGCATGGGTAGCGTAGCGCCCCTGTCCAAAAGGATCTTGATAATTTCATAGTTGTCCCTATGGGCGGAAAGGATTAAAGGCGTGATATCCGGAGTAAAGGTAGCAGTGTCTGGAGGTAGGGCCTCCCAGCTCTGCGACAAAGAAAAATGAAAATATCAATATTTAACCAAATTGCCAAGTTTATACATTATTATAATATTATATATAGAAACTTTTTTATTTCCTGGGCTTGCCCTTGACGTTAACTATTGTTTAAATGTTTTTAAATTTGTCATTTTTAATAAGCACTTTATTTTATAAACAATACATTCTACAATTACATTTCATGTTACAGTTTTTAAAAGTTTAACATGCATTAAAGAATTGGTGTCTGAGATTGACAGATGGCATCTGACAGGTATCTTAAAACATGCTTGATTCAGGGTTGTATCTTAAATATCTGCTATGGTGCATTTAGAAACAACTCAATTAATTAAATTATTATACATATTGGAAAGATCTTTTATGTCAGTCTTATTGATAGAATTTGGATCTTTGTTCTGTTTATTTAATATTTTTGATTAAGCTTTATTATTTATTATATTTTATTCTTTTCTTTATAAGGAAATATCCAAAGAACCATGCCCACATATATCCGATTCTAAGCAACGCGTCCTAGTTCATTTTGTGTGCATCAAACATCTCCAACTTTTGGTTGCTACAATATTAAAAGCCGTTTTAAAACAAAATGTTTCATGAAACTTTCTATACTCGCTTTCTTATGATTTGCTACTGATTAAAGTAGCCTAACTTGTATTTTTATACCATTAAATAAAAAGTTGTTATGATACAGAACAAACACAGCTCTAAATATAGGTACCCATAAAAATTTTCAATTCAATATTTACGTGAAATGTTCTTAGGTGTATTATTGCCCAATACAACATCAATATCCGTTATTCTAACTACGCCATAAAATTTAATAGTCTGGCAAAAGTTTAAATATCCCTGTATAAATAACAATAATGTCGCTTGACGTTGTTCCAGACATCGTTGTAGGGATTCAAGTAATAAAAAACGGATAAGGGAAACATTCTATTTATGTCTTATTTTCGCTGAAAGAAAAACTGTAAAAATAAATATGTTGGAAGCGAAGCATAAAAAAATCCAAATAAGTTTAAGTATAATACTGGATATTTAAGTTATTTTATACAGTAAGAAAAATATATATGCACAATTCGTAATCATAGTAAATAGCGACACCTTTGGGTTTGGGTTTCCAGTTTTTACTGATATCTGCTCTTATATTTGCACTATTTCCAAGATCCTCTTTTCATCCTTCTTGTTGGTTTGTTATACCGTAATTTTGGGTGACTTTGGCTCACCAGGGCAACTTTGGTTCATTTTCGGAGAAAGATATTTTAGTAACTAGGGCGTTTGTACAATATATTATCAAGTAAATTTCATTATACCGCACCATCAGTACTATGTGAGCTGTAGGAAAATTTTAATAAATCACGATAATACCTGTTATATTTAAAAAAAAAAGAATTTTTAAAATGTAGCCATTTCACATAGGATTTTTTGACCCGGAAAAATTGGTTGGCAACCAATAATACTTTCAAGATTAAGATTAACTACAGAGTTGCGTATTGAAAGTCTGCGAATTCTTAACCGCCGTGTAGCATTAATTCAGTCTAAACATAAACACTAAGAAAGTCGGGTATTATTTTTAAGATGCTACCGAATTTAACGGTTTTCGGATGACTTTGGCCAGTTTGTTGATTGTCGGATTTTGATCATTCTTTGGATCACAAAATTTAGCCTTGTAATATCTGCAGGGTTTATTAACTTGAAATGCCATGGCAGACACAGTTGAAAGAACTCTAATAACTATCAGAAATTGAGTTTTATCACAGAGAAAAGCTGCAATTGAATTTGAAGTGCCAGTGAGTACTTTAAAAAATAGATTAAAAGCAGGAATACAAAAGAATATTGTAGTCAGACAATTTTTACGAAAGCTGAAGAGGACGTCTTCACGTCTCATATTTGTAGCTTATCTTTATACGGATTTTAATTGGATGAGAATTGGATTTACGAAGTTTAGTGAAAAATTATTTAGATCGTGATGGTTGAATTATTAAGCAATTTAAAAATAATTTGCCAGGAAAAGACTAGTTAAATGTTTTTCGCCTTTCTTAAAACCCATTGTTAAACTCAACGGTTTGCAAGCAACATCAAACGATCGAGAGCAGAAATTAGTGAAACCACTACAAGAGACTACTTTAACAATTTGCAGAATTAACTCGTCGATGTTTCAGCTAACAACGTTTAAAACTACGATGAAACTAATTTAAGTGACGACCCCGGCAAAAAGAAAATTTTAGCAAAACTTGGGACTAAATATCCTGAAAGGATGATGAATTTTATTAAATTGGCAACTTCAATTTGTGGACATGTGGCTGAAGAAATGCTAACTCTATATATAAATCCAATACACTGTGGTCGACTTTGCTAGAAAATGGCCCAAATGGGGCACGGTATAACAGATCGAAAAGCAGATGGTTCGAGCACAGCTTGTTTAGAAGACTGGTTCACTTCTCTTTAATTGCCAACGTTGAAACACATTCCTGGCATTAAAGTGTTAATTGGCGACAAGGTATCGTCCCATATAGCATTAAACATTTTACACCTTTTAGAAGCAGAAAACATTAAATTCGTGTGTCTCTAAGCCAATTCTACGTACCTAATACAGCCATTAGATGTCGTCTACTTTCGACCAATAAAAATAGCTTGGCAAAATATTTTGGTAGAATACAAAACACTGAATGTTAACACCAACTTAATCTCAAAAATCATCTTTTACAACCTTTTAAAAAATCTACAGTGGCTTTGGAAAATGTGGCATTTATTTCCTAAACGCAGAAGAAGTAATAACCAGAATTCCAAACTATGAAACTTATTCTGCGCAAGTAACTTCGATAGTAAGTGACGCTATTTTATTTTTTTAAAGAAAAAAAGGGAATGTCAGCACGAAAAACTATGTGTGCTGAAGATGTTAAAAGCTGACAAGATTTTGCAGTTGCAAAAATAGTGGCTAAAAAGAGCCAGTAAACGAAAATTGCCTTACAAGAAAATTAAAAACGAAAACTGGAGTGGCAGCCAAATGTAACACTGGAAGGAAAACTGGACAGGCGAGCAATCAAGCCAATAATCTGATTTGCAAAACAGTGAAAGATAATGCTTTGGTGAAATTTGCTCTAGTGAATTGCCTAAACATAAGATGATAAAAAACAACAAAACGTTTTAATAAAATACAAGATTTTGGAAACACTGCAGATACTGCATCTAATTTTGCATCTAATGAGAGGTAAAGGAATATAGCAGATCTGCAAGAGTTTTCCATTTGAATTGGAGGCTTCGTAATTATATCTGCCTACTTGAACAGCTTTTCAAGAAAATTTGATGGAATCATGAATCATGATTCATTATTTATTTATTATTTCTTTACATATTTAAAATTTGATGGATTTGTAAGAGGTAGTCATAACTGTTACGGTTGGGTGCAAGTAATGGTACTGAGTGAAAGAAGTTTATGACAAAAAATTGAGTGGCGCCCTGTTTCTATCTTATCGTATCTGTGCTAATTTTACCCATCTATCTTTTTGTTTATTTCTATATCTTTTCTAATAACTCTTATCCTATCTTTACTTATTTCCTCCGTTGGACCCATTCGCGATTTCAAAAGCTAGTTTCGAACCCACGACTCGCTCTCCACCAACCATCTGGCTGTTGTCCGCATTGTCTCCATTGGTTATCTTTCTAGCACCATCCAAAAAAGATTTCCGATGTTACATAGTAACCAAGACAGTGAGGATAAAGACATTGACTTCTTTGAACTTTTCACTCAATAAAAAGAAGCACAGACGCAATAATAAACTTTAATTGTGTTAGCTGTATATAAATAGGTACCCCATACCGCAGAGAAATCTTTGGTTTTTCTTGTAATTCCTTTTGTTTCTAGTTTTTTATTGTGTTAAAGCAGTTGTCCAATAACTAATTTTGAATGTCCTGTAACTAAATAAATATATATTGACAAAAAAGATTTAAGGCTTATCCTCGAATATTGTAACGGTAAAATTCAGAGAGATGTCTATTTCAAAAATATCTTTCTTTACAAAAACAAAATCCATTCACGAAGAATATTCTAAACGTCATCTTGTACTAGAGGTAAGCTTTATACCTACCTTATACAACCCCCTATTGTGTAAAGTCTTGGGTCTATACAATAAACAAGTGGGCGGCCTTTTATTCAGTGCGGTTTTAAAATAATGTTGAATAAAAACATTCATGAAATTAAAATGAAAGAATTTACTTCTATTAGTAGAAGTGCGATTTATAAAATTAGTACTTGAAGCATAAATCGCGGGAGGAATATGTGCATCAGTTTTCAAATATTTATTATTTACTATATAATTTCTAAATTGAACCACTTTCACTTCTTTAGTTAACAATGTATCTGTTTTGACAACTAAATAGGTAATTAGACAAAATAATTATTCATTTCAAAACAGGAGTTTAAAGAATTGGAAAGAGGTAGCCCGGGCCCAGTTAAATGGTCAAGCTTATTCCAGTGGAAGCAATAAGGAGGATTATTTTTCGTTTTGGCACAGCTGACATGCTCTCTCTAGCACTACAACCCATGAAACTGTGGTAAAAAGCATGCTTTATTTATACGGTTGTGAAACACGACGATTAACAGAGACAGATTAATATCGAAGAAAGATATCTCGTCGAACTTAATGCAATAAAGTATGAGAATAGAAGGTACAGTCATGGATGGCATACAACGAAAGCAGCTCAAATGGGTACAGGTCCAATAAATGAAAGACAGTAGACTCCTAAAACAAGTACCTGTATGAACACCTACCGTAATCCAGAAGAGAGGATTACCTTAGAAAACACGGATGGAAGGAATAAGAAACTTAATGAGCTCGAAAGAACTTAAAGAACAATGGAACAACCGAATTGAATGAAAAATGAACGTCGGAAGACATTTTATAAGGATTATATCATATTATAGGTACATTTTTTGGACTAAAAATAAATTTGAAGAAAACCAAGTTCATGGTATTTACAAAAGCACAAAGCA